GGACCCCCAGGTCCCTTTCCCCTACACTGCAGAGCAGCTAGAGAAAGCTAGGTAAATGTGGACACTTAAGATAAAATAAGGTGCTTCCTCAGGAATGACATGATTTTGGAAAATTGGTGTAAGCTATGCCAAAACTAGAAAGGCGGAATATTAAAGAGATTACCTGAGCACCAACTCTAAAAGCAGCTTCCACTTGAGCTTTAAGGATGTTGCACTTCATGTGGTCAGGTACAGATGAAGGTGACACAGGGGCATGAAGAGACTTTTCAGGTACTTTCTTTTCTTCAACCTATATTTAATATAAAATACAAGCACAGTGACATATATAAGAAAGATAAGCTAAAAAAATGGTCGAAGGTCAAATTTTTAATTGTAACAACTTGATTCAGCAATACTGGATAAAACTTCCGTGTTCATACCCTGACAGATTTACAATATAAAGTTTTCAAAATATTTAATGACTTGATACTATTTACAAGACAAGAAAAGCCACAGAGAAACCTGAGTAAAAGGAGCAAGACACCAGAGTGAAGAAATATGGAAAAAGCCCAGCAGGGTCCTGGAGTGGTTGCTCAAATCTGTGATCACACCGAGGAAGCAAAACATTGTCTCAAAATATCCCACAGCAGGCAGAAGAGGGAAAGGTTCAGTTCACAATGCTAAACTCTAATGAACATTGGCTCACCACCCTAAGAATGTAAAGGGGCTTTGCAAATTTAACCAGATGGATTTGAAGAGATCTCCATGTATTTGCAAGCCAAGCAAAATCTCCTTCAGCAGAAAGAAAAATCCAGGGAGTTTAAACACTGCTGCTGCTGTTTTCACTTGATGTCAACTCCTTACCTATGCAGTGATCTGGATTAGAAGTCTAAAGCCTCAGGACAGCCCATTTAGTGACCTGTTCAAACAAGACCTAAAGGTTTTGTGCCTTGAACAAACTACATCCAGCAGAAATGCCAGCATGAATAAACTTCCCATACAGAAAAGAAAAAAACCAAACCAAATAAAAACAAAAAAGAGAAGAAAAGGACAAGGTAATAGTAATGTATAAACAGGGTATGAATGAGACTAGGATTGTAAACGCAAACTCTTAAACAACTGCACTGTAATATCTTATAAATTTTTAAAGAAGAATTTGGCAACGGCACAACAGCCATTGCAAACTTTCTTCCTGGAAATCAGACCTGAATTACAGCCCAATAACAGCCTGGATTATGCACACATTTTCCACTCTCATTGCTGTGAAGAGTGAGTGGTCAAATACATCCGGATAGACTAGATCTGTAATGCTGTCATTCAGATTTCTGCCAAAATAGGCATAAGGCATCAGTAAAGCAGGTTCAGCACATCCTCGAGGTTCACCTCTGGCAAAGTATTTCAAGACAGAATCAGTCATTTTTTAACCACTAAAATTACTATATGATTAGCCCTTTAACTTCAAAACCTACCTCCTTTATCCTTCCCTCTGCCCTTCCCAGTGGCATCCCACTGGCTGACGGTAACTACAATTGTACTTCTCTCAGATCTGCGAGCACTCACAGATAAAGAGAACATCAAGATTCAGGGGATACTTTCTGCAAGTGGAGCAAATCACAAATACAATTCTGTTGCCTGAGCAAATGATTCTGCAAACACTGTTTGAAAGAGCCAGACCCTTGTAGAACTCCACTGAGACCACAAGATATTTCTCATGTGTAAGCAAAGTTGTCCAGCAGACTTCTGTATATATATATGTATATATACATCTATGCATATATATGTATACATATATATATGTGTGTGTGTGTGTGTGTATATATATATATGCCATAGTTGATGGGTATGATTTTGAGCAACTGTCTGTTAAGGGATCATAATGAGGTTTCTTATTTTCCTCTGGCAAATTTCTAGTACTTCTTATATATTTATTTGCCTAGCTACATTTGCTGTTTTTAATGGAAGATATTTTTTGACTTTTGATTCTCCTCAATTTCCTCCTAAGGGAAAAAGAAAATACGTAAAATGAAAAGTGACAGAGTCTTGCTGGGGCAACTTATGGAACTGCAGTCATTTATTCAGTCTTGGATATAATGGTAGTTCTGGCAAACGTACTATAAAACCCAGAAAATATTCATTTGCCATAGGTGGCTTTTCTGGGATTCTCATGAAGCTGAGAAGTGGAGATAGTTGAAAGGATAAAATTAACTCTAAAGAAAACACAACTTTTCCTTGAAACTTTGCCTTGGTGGCCACAGCACACTAAGCAGTGGCATTTCTAAAGGCCATGCAAAATCCCACCTTTGTTTTAACAATGCATACTAAATTAAATATCACTGCAGTCAAGCAAAATTAAGCAACTGTATTTTACTCACTAAATCAAGACAACCAATGCTTGTTTAGGACACAAGCTTGTTTCATAACTTTAGAAGTTTGAAAGTCCCGTTTGTCTGTATTTCAGATAGATGTGGGTATTTTTCAGTCCTTATGTTCCTCCTCCCCTTCCCAATTTGCCCATATTGACCAAGAGCAAGATAAAAGCCCTCAGGGCTGTCCTGTAGCTGGGAACCCTCAAGAGGTCCAAACCTCCTGCTGTAGTGAGGATTGGATCAGACGACTCCACGTAACAGGGACTGTCCCCAGTGTGGGGTCTGATGTGCAAGTCTCCCATTGAGATTCTCATAACTTGAGAGGTCCAAATGCTGATGCTCAGTGACCTGGCTGGGCAGGGAAAGCTGCTGTCACTGCTGGAGGTTGCAGCCATTCCTGGGCATTCAGTTTTGCATTTGCCCTTGTTTGTGTCAGACTATAAGAGTTTCAACCTTCAAGCGAGTAAAATTTGCTTTGCTTGCACCACACTAGGAGCAGCAGCACCTTTAGTGACTGATCACACATGAAGGGCAGACGTTACTGCAATTGCTTGGCCTCATCCTGTTCAACAGCTGCTGAGCCAGCAGATGAAGGCCACCACCTCCCTTTGCCCCAGTAGTAATGCTACTGCACACAAATCCCGTATGAGGCTTGGGAGTCCTCTGCCTGACCCACATCTCCTCTAGCATCTGAAGATGTGTGAAAGGCAAACACTTTTTTGCCAGCCTACCATGGCAACAATGGACTTCTCTGCCACAGTGCAGCGCATCTTGAATCGTTACTGAATTTTGCTCTCACACGGCTGATTAGCTGAGACTACTACACATATATGTGCAGCGGCACTGATATGCAGACTAAAAGTGAACTCAAATCACAGAACAAAGTAACACCTCCTTACTGCAGACTATCAGCACTTCTCAGCATCTATAAAACTTCCTACTGTTCCTTAATGCCACTAATCTTCACACAGAACCCTGTTCACCCCCCAACTTAACTCCTAAATATCACTGTCATCAAGAAGGTAAAATGAAAGAAAACAACCCAACATTTCAGGACTAGACAAAACCATATAGTACTTCTATGGTTCATTTCCCTACTTTATAATAAAGTCAAAGATCTAAAACCTGCCTGCATTAGGAATCTCTATACGCTATTGCTGCAAGAATGAAAGCTGTAATCTATTTTGTTGCATGAAAAAGAAACTTTACTTTTCCAATTCTTATCGTTTGCAGTGATGAGTGAAGCATAAAGATAGCAGCTGTGTATTCAAATGTTGCACCAGGTTGGCAGTTATTAAAATTTTATCTTCATTTATAAACTAAGAGCATTCTATGTGGAAGTAATTAGAAAACGAAACATGGCATAATGTTAATGAAACTTCCAATTTTATCATTTCTTATTATGTAATTCCAAAAAAAACCTGAGATGCCTCTTTCAAGCGAATGTCTGAGAGTCAAACTTGCATTTAAAAGAAATCATCTTCTTGCTTAAAACTGCAATCTAAAGTAGTTCTAAAAGGTTTAGAAATGAGGAAAAAAACCCATTAAGTTAAGATACCTCATAATACTCCAATTTTCCATCTCCAGTTCTGCTGGTGCTAAAAAACAGCAATGTGTTCACGTCACTTTCACCATCAATGCAGAACTTTAGTTTTTCCAGAGAACAATACTGGAGACTCGTAATTAAATGGGTTTGATGGAAGTGGGTTGAACAAGCTCAGATATACACACACATAAAACTAGATGCCTTTTTTTTCTTTTTGTAATCGAGGTCTTAGGTTTGCTTTTCTCTTCCCAAACATTTACTTTAAATTCAATTACATTTGCTGATACTAGAACTGAAGGCAGATTTGTACAATGTTAGATAAAGATGACACTGGTTTTGGTTTGCAAGACTAATTGAATATTAAATACACATACAGAATATAAAAACAGTCACATGAAATACAGCAATACCACCCCTGTACTTAACATTTCTATTCTCTCTGCTTTTAAAGGTTCATGCTTTGTTCCACATCAAACTTTGTACCAAGAGCAAGATTCATGACCTTTGCCTCTGCAAATTCATCACTAGTCTCTTCTTAGCCAAACAGTATGTTTAAAACATGCATTTGGCTGGAGACATCTGAAGAATAAAATGAATATTTTGTTTAGGAACACAGGTCTATTTTTTGTAGTTAGTCATCACTACTAGTGGGAGGTAAAATATTAATGAAGACATCACAGATATATAGGTTCTGAATGCACATCAGCTACGTAAGGTCAAACCCATTTGGTTTCCTGGGACTCAGCTACATCTGCAAATGTGCATGAAAATCTACAGACTCTTTCACCCCTTATCCACCAGGAGATTTACTGAATTTTTCCATGTGATAGCTAACACCAATTGCAAACAGACACCATAATGGTAAGATCTGTATAATTATGTGTTATTCTTATTTGAGGCAAAGTTTGCAACCAGAAGCTACATCTTTTATTAGAAAAATACATATGGAAAACCAGACAAACAAAAAAACCCCTCATTAAGCTGTCAGATACACAAGACCTTCCTCAGGTCAACTATCAGTTGGTCTAATGAAAGATGTAACTACCAATAAATCTTGTCTTGCTTATACCCTTGGAGCAAACCTCTTTAGTTCCTGGTATCAAATTTATTTTATAAAATGCTATTGCTCAATGTTATTAGATTCTGCCTCTGTCAGTGCCAAGGTTCATGATAGCTGTACTGGGTGATTGTAGCCACGTTTCCTGGGATATGCTCTCTGATCAGTGTATCACACAGAAGAGTCTCAGATAGATCAACAAAGTGGGTTGGTTTTGGTTTGTTTTTTTAAACCACAAATTATTTTTGGAACTGTAGTAGCTCTACGGTTTGCAGTTGTGCACAGGGCAAGTAGTTCCATACCTTTTTTGCAAGTGGCATCATTTGCAAATAGTCGGTGTAACTGGGTAGCCCTGTAATATGGTATTGCTATGCTAGCAAAAGGCCATAAACTTTGAACAGTTTGCAAAGCCACTGAGGCTCATCGGGCTCGCTCTGAACCTTTCTTGAGGTTGCCTGCAGCTCTGTCTTACTAGGTGTAGCTGTAACAGCAGTAATTTTATACAGAAAACAGTAACACAAGCAGTTATTCTTTGTAGAATGAGATATTTATGACTTTAACACAATGATGTAGTATAAAGCAATGCAGGCTGATATGATAACAGAGGCCTTGAGAAGTGGAGACACAGGGGTTGGTGTATAGGAGTGCAGGCATGGGGTGATAGTGCAAGGGGCACAGGCTGGCACTGGAGGCCCCATGGTTATAAACAACTCACCCATGGCCAGTGAAAGAAATGCAGACCTGGAGCTGGGCAAAAATGGTTTTAGGGGCAATGAAGAGAGCAAAGACATAGTATCTAGCATATATATGTAAAAGCCACCATGTATAGTAAATTTGAGTGTAACATGAAGATGGAGATCAATGAAGAAAGAGCAAGGTGTCAAAGGACCCTAAGTGGATCCTAGTGTAAGAAAGGAACAGTGAACTTGACCATCATAACCCTCTTGTGGAAGGACTCTCCATAATACCCCCTGTGCCCCCCACCAGAATGAAATCACTGAGCTTAGGAGCCAGGGAAAGGGTGAGCATAACATCAAGAAAAGGGGTAGAAATAATTTGAACTGCATTAGTATTTTTTCCTTTTATGTAATAATTACATTGGAACTAATAATTACTAGACTCCCAAGATTTCAGAAACACTAACAATACACTCTTGGCTTTACATTATTTATAAATATACACACATGCACACATGGAGCAAGGTGGGATGGGAGAACATATTTTTCTAAGGCAAGGCATGCAAGAAAGAAAACTAGAAACACATTCAGTGCTACAACACTTAGGATTGTCTCTCCTGAAGATTAAGGAGTCTGCTAACACCAAAGAGCATGAAATGCATGCTGAAACTGACTTTTATCATTCAGTAGCTGGACAGACATGTCCACTGTACCAAAGAGGTCTGGAAAAGAGATTGGACACATCTATTCATCATTCCCATGAGACAAAGTTTGCTGTAGTGGACAATCAAATTAATTAACTGCTGAATCTAATTTACCCAATTTCTTGTTAATTCTCCTATGGGTTGATTATTAAGCCTGACAAATTCCAGCCCCAAAGCACTTTGTTTGAAAAAATATTAATTAGGAACAGGAAGAGGGGGAGTGAAAGTTTGGTCTCCACAATAGATGTGGAAATCATTGCTTTATTTTCAGAAATATAGCAAATGAAGCAGCTTCATAACTGCTTCACTGGTTTTGTTTAAGCATAGTATTTCAAATGATGCAAAACTAGGTAATAAAAAGCACTTAGCAGAACAGAAACCAGTGGAGTGGTGCAGGACAGCCGTTAACATTTCATTTTTCCTGCCAGAAACTAGATACACTGACCACTCATTAAAATCTGTTTACTGCTGGGCTGAGTAGCTGGTTAACTACCATAACTAAAGGAGCCTTAAAGGCCACACTCTCAGAAAAAAATGCTCGTCACAGTTTAAGGCTGTTCAATACTGTCTAACCTGCCCTGCTCCCTTTGTGCTGGGCAACACCCCACAGCCCAATATTTACAGCACGTCCCTCTCTTTCCATCGGAGAAGCCATCTGCTGAGGCGACTCCAGGCTCTGCTCAAAGCTCAAAGCCCTGTGGTTTGTTTGTTTTAGCTTTACGAGCTCTGTGTACACATTTCACTTGGATCTAGGTCAGAAAATGGTGCTTGAAGAAGAAACCACAAGCGAGGGGCCAAAAGAACTTCAGAAAGATTTATTGGTCACAAGCCACAGCCTGTGATTTGAGGGCTTGATCACTGAGGTGCCTTCTGGCGGTGACTCTGGGCTTGTTTCAAGTGCACGTACAATTTTCAGAAATTTCAAAATTTACATTCAAAATGGTAAGTTTAATAAATTTTGAGGGTCTGGCCTCCTCTGCATTCACATGGTAACCACTGCTCATCGGACTGCTGCCCAACTCTTAAACCTAAACCCTCTATGACTGCCAGCAGAGGGTTTTCATTAAACAGCCCATGTCTCTAGCCTTGCCTTCTGCTGAGCTTCTGCCAGGAACAGAAGCATTTAACAGCTCCTGGTGCTCACTGCAAGATTTTTTCATCACTTTGACTGATGGAAGTCTCTCCACAGCAGACACAGGCTGTATTTACTGTGCAGCTGCATTTATTGTGAAGCACTGACTTGCTGAGATACTGGGTTCTGCTAATTAGTCCTTAAATAAATGATCCATCTGACTGTGGACAAGATTCCAGAGCTGTCAGGACAAGCCAAAGAAAACCGCTAATTATAGAAGAGCTAAGTTCTCCCTCCACAGATTTTCAGAGAAGAAAAAAGAGCGAAAGGATCAGAGGTCAGGCTTTGCCAGGCAGAAGTCACAAGGACTACTGGGACTGGTTGCACAGTATGGTGGAATAAAGGACAGAAGTGTTTTAAGGTTTCACTTAAAGAAAGAAAAACGACCATAAATCGACTCATTTTGAAATCCCAAGGGTACCATTGAGATCATTTGTTTGCATCTCTTACGCAACACAGGCCAGACTGGTTTATTCACTTATGCACTGTGGTCAACACGGAGAGAGTCCTCACACTTCTCCACTTTAGCCTTACATATATATCAAACTGAGCTGTCAATAAGCTCAATAGTGTAGGACTGTCCTTTAAAGCATGTTTTGCACCTAAGTGAATGTTCTCAGCTGGTGTTAAGACAGAGTATCAGTAATTACATCTGAACTACAGTGCTTCTCTCACAAGACCTGGATATTCACTGCATCAATCTGTGAGATGGAGAATTTTCCTTTGGACAAACTGTGTCAGTGCTTAATTAGCTTTTCCTATAAGAAAGTGTACTTATTATCAGTTAAGAGCATTTCTAGAAGAACTTGAAAAACATCCATGGGAAAAAGATGACTTCTTTTCCATTTCATCCGTTGGTCTACTTTATGATATAACTTTTTATCCCCACCCAAATCAACCAGTCAGACAAAATGACAGCTTCTCACAGCTGGTAACAAAATAGATTTGGGAAAAAGTCTAAAATATTCCACCTTCATCTGTTCATTCAGAAGTCTCCAAAAGTCATAACCTAAGTCATTCACAAGGCATAAGGACTGCAGCCCTTAGCTGGACTACACCACCACCCTATGACACAACCTGAACATGGTTCTTCAAGCAGATCTTCATGATGGAGAAACTACTGCATTGTGGATTAACTTCAGTTAACTACAGTGTTGAAAAAAATATTCCAAGAGTTCACTTTTTATTAGAAACACCTGACTCACTGATTTTCGGCCCTGATTTCCTTCTCCTGGATTCTCTCATGCAGAAAAAAAGGACAGATTATGCTATATAGATATACAGCCCCTTTGTCCTTGGATTTTTGATGCACTTTGCTGCTTCTCTTCTGATTTTAATTTCCCTAACGCTTGCTGAAATAATATCAATAACAAAAGGTTGCCTGTAAACCTAAGGTAAAGCAATTTAACTGAGTTCTCCCTTGAACTGACAGAAAACTCTCAAAACACCACATTTCTTTTAACAGGTCTGTATACTCACTGGGGGCCCAGACCCACCTCATTTGAACCCAGTGGCAAAGCTCTCATTGACTTCACTAGGTTCAGCTCAGGACTGATGCTGTTGCAAACCAGAGGTCCAGGTCTCTGTGGCTGTATCCAAACTCAGCTCCAGGCACCCCACAGCACAGGCACAGAGGATTTTGGCTCCCATGGATACAAGGAGCCACCAAGCTGGTGGCCTCTGATCTCTGGCAGAAACTCAGATCTCTGCAAAAACTCACTCATAAAACACCCACTACCATCAGATGCCAGAGGGGTTTCAAGGCATAACACAGACTCCTCATGTAGAAAAACAAGATTTTTTTTTTTATCACTTGAAGTGTTATTTTTTTACAGCTTTGGGTTGCCTAGATGACTAACTCTTCACAACTAAACTGAAACTACATAATAACATTGTTGCAGCAGCTTCTGAAATTTTAAAAGGCAAAGTTGAAGGAAATGCTAAATCTGAAAACCAAGCGCCAGTCCCATAAGGAGATGGTGAGAGTTGATTAAAAAGCGAGCCAGCTGCAGATGAATGCTGATTTGAATTGGAAGTGAAAAAGCAGCAGCTTCTGAATATGAAGTGACAAAGGGGCTCTCCAGCATATATATGCAACAGTATATATATATGTACATGCTATACCTTGTTCATGCTGACGTGCAGGGCTGGCCATGGTCCAACTACCTTCACACTCTCCGTTTCTATTTTCTTCAGATGAGAAGTTTCATCATAAAGAAGGGGAAGTCCTGAGCTCAGTTCTAAAAAGATGCCCAAGAGAAAGAAAGAAAAAGATCACAGACTGAAAGGAGGCTACAAAAGAACCACAGAGCAAGTCACTCAGCTGCATTTGAAGAGGCAGCAGTCAGCAAACCATCTTCCCTGTAAGACCATCTAAAATGTTTCATAATTATGCCCATCAGGTTATTTCTCCTTTTTCTGTTTAGCAAACAATTCCTCCCTCCTCCTCCTTCTCTCCCATACCTTCATTTTAGCAGGGCTTTTGCCAGCTTTGGGCTAGATACTTGTCTCCTTGCCTCCCCTCCTCTGCCCCCCCCTGTATTCTAAAACTCAGTTGACACTAGAGGGATTATTTATGCAGCCAAGGTGCCACTCTGAGAGCATGTGATGTGTAAAGAGATCAGAGTATAGCTTTTGGCTTCTCTCAGACATCTTTATTTATATGCCAGCCTCCTTAAGACTGTTGTCAGGAATTTGCTGTGCTTTGTCAACAGAGATTTTGAGCAAGTCACTGACACAGAAAGACAAGGGAAAACATTTTTTGAGACAGCCCTGAAAGGTCTCTGTCAAAATCTTGGGGATGGTGTGGCATATATAGGTATATTTACAGGTATTCTGACCATTCTAAATCATCATGTGGTGATTTAGAAAATCCTTGTGTCCTCCTGTATTTCCTTTTGCCATAGATTCTAGGTAATAACAGCTGGGAACAATCTGGTAATCTCTGCAGTCTGATTCAAAGTCCACTGAAATCAATAAAAACCTTGCAGTGACTGCAGTTTTGTTTGGATCATGTTCTTAAGCTGTCCTAAGAATATTAAATATTACTCACTCAAGATCTACTTCTACAGCTGTTTAAATATATATTAAGAGCTTTGCTGACTAGAGACAAACTGCTAAAACCAGCTTATAGGGATATAAAAAAAAAAGCTGGTTTTGGCATTGGTGAAACATTATCAGACCCTGAGGTAATAATGTTCTAGAAAGAGTTACAATATCAGCATTGACCCCCCCTTGGTGGTCTCTCATCACAAGTCAGTGATGCCAGAGGTCAGCATTTCTCACATCACAGCTGCTTCCATGGATATGAGACTGTGAAACTGCCCAACGATATCCACGAATAAATTACCATGGCTGTAAGATTAGACACAATGATGGGGTTTTTTTTAAGAACCACAGTAATTTTATTTTCCTGTCGAAAAAGAACATAGAGGGGAAAAAGTGCCTATTTAAATTATTCAAATATGCTATGATTTAGAACTCACTTTTAAGCTGGTTATTGTTTGTTTGTTTGTTTAAAGGGAGAGCTCCGGAAAACAAGCTAGCCAGTTTAGCCTTTTAACTCAACCTTGAAAATAGATTTCAAAAAAGGCAAAAAACTGAAGTCCTACAAAAGGCATATGCATCCTGAGTCAGCATTAAGACTTGAGAAAACCAGGCTTTCATTTCAAGAAAGGATCTGGCAGCACTGTGGCTTTTCAAAGCACTTTCAGCCTGAAACTCAGCCTGTATTACACCATTCTCTGCTCAGGGTTACACAAGGACTTTTGTAGTGAGCAGTTCAGGAGAAACAGATGTCTTTTTTTTAAGTGATAACCTGCAAGCTCAGCCCAGAGTTCAAGAGGCAAGCTGAGGCCCCCTCTTCTCGTTCATCATTTTCCGTCATAAAAATTCTGCGAGCTACATTGCATACTTGTTGGCATCTGCTTTCCGTGATAGCCCCAGCTGCTGCCGGTGGATCTGCTCACATGCACCGGGTAATCAGTGCACGATGTTGCCATGCCAATTAGGCTTAGCAAGCAGCTCGCCCTCACTGTGCAGCAGCACTGGCGCTGTAAGACTAACTGCTCCTGAGTGCAGTGGTCCCTGGGACTGGGATTCTGCAGATACACAGGGGAATGTCTGCTGCTCAAAAAGATACGATCCGTGTAGGTTAGCTTTGAGATGAAGGGCACCATTGCAAATACAATAATCGGGCTGAATGCAGGAAAACAACTTCTTCTGCTGAACTGCCTTCATAAACACACATGTCAGATTTGTTTCACCGGATTTAACTTCTTCCAGTAATTGAAGCAGACAAATTACTTGGAATGTGAAAAATCAAGCAGGTCTGGCCTGGGTTTGTTTTCTGTAACAAAATCCCAGGCTGTGTGTTTGCTGAGAAACATGCACCAGTATATAAAGGGAACCTTGGCTGAGCATCCTGTCAGCTCCCTCTCTCCTGCCTGTGTCCTGTGAATTGTGCTGGAATTTTGCCATTTACCAGAATAGGTGTAAGTGGAGAAAAGGCAGACACTTTCTCCCTCTCTTGAGCCAATGCGGGGCACATATGGGTGGGTCACTCCATGTTCCACTTCAGGTGAATGTAAAACCACCTGAGAGGTCAGAGATTACTCCAGCCCAGAGGAACTGGAATAAGTTACAAAACACCTGTGGTCCCTTGGAAAACCAAAAGGTAGCTGAACTGAAGTGCACAGCCTCACCTCTGTCAGCCTCATGGGGAAGCTTCCACTAGGACAGTGCATTTACCCTATGAGACCTTTTGACTCTCCAGGCATTTCCACTTGAGATATTTTGGTCACAAGCACACTTTTCCCCAAGAGTGTGCCCAGGTTAGTGGCCATTTACTTCCTAGAAACACTTTCCCAGCAGCTGTCTTTCCACGCAGCCTGGAGCCAGACATCAGTTTCCTGTGTCCCTGACACAGATCACTGATAGCGTGTCCTCTCTTCCTGAGTTTTCTTGTCCCGCACACTCTGCCACAAGTGCCATCCTAGATAACCAACTGACAGCCAGCATAATCCTGACTGTTTTGGCACATGCACTATGAGCCTTTTTCACAGACTCTCTACAAGACAGTTTTCTCAGCTGAAATAGCCTAAGTAGCATTTAAAAGGATCCATGAAAAACGAAACAAATCCACTGAGCACCAACCTTGAAAAGGCACCCAGACCCATCTCCCTAAACTGCAAGTAACTTTGACTTGGCATTTTAAGGGAAGCAGTCCTATCTATACCATCACCGCTCTAATGGTGTAAACAACAGCCTGAGCATGCCAGGTCTAACACAGCACGCCCATGTTAAGACGAACCAGCTTACAGAGCAGCACATGGGATGCAAAACTGCCTGAACAGCTCAGCTGGATGACAGCTGGCATGTCTGCACCACAGCTTCCCCTCAGGGGTGCCCCTGTCCCTTTCTGCTCCCTTAGAGAAGCCGTGAATTGGCATTTGGCACTGCTGGCATTATGGCTATGTCAGGAACCAGCACCAATTCCCTTTTCTCTAATCAAACACCTAACTTGAACCAGCCATAAGCAGACAAAATGAAGAGAAAGGTACATCTATCTCCAGGAAAAGCTGCTACATGCATGTCTCAGCTGCTGAAGTCCCCTTCAGAGCATTGCAGCTGCCAGACAGACCAAGGATGCTGCACCCCCTGAGTGGTGCAGGGTTTTGAGGCAGAGTCTGCCCTCTCCGTGCCTGGGGAGATGCAGTCTCCTGGGCCCGACACTTCCTCTCACAGGTAACACACACTGGACGCAAATAGAACTGCTCCTTATACTCTTCTAAGCTAATTTCACCAACAAGGACCAGTAGGAAACCAGTGCAGCACAAGAGGAGACACAGAGCTGGAATAATCACCCTGTACTGTGTTTGCTGTTTCTTTAATCCCCTTCTGCTCTGCAGGTGGGCCTGGCTTGGCAGGCTCCATGGCAGAGCTGTGGGGAGCTGAAGCTCTGCTGCAGCATTGCTGGGGCAGGGGATGAAGCTCTAGTTGGGCTGACATGGGGTCCTGGGCTGTGGGCAGGACAGGGAGAGGCCCCAGGACGGGGACAGGGGCAGTAGGGCCTGCAGTGCCCTCAGGGCCAGGACACTCAGCAGCAGCATAGCTGGCTTTGACTGAATTTCCTGGCATACTTCAACTCTAATTTGGGAAAGGAAAATACAGGCTGGCACACACCCTAGAAAGGTCACCGCCTCCTGCTGCACCAGGCTGACAGCCCGAGCTAGGCTTTCCAGCTCAGCCTGGCCAGCATCCCTCTGCCACCAGCGCTCAGCTGCCACTCATGGCAGCCCTGTGACCAGCCAGCCGAGGCCCAGCAGGTGCACGGCCATGCTGAGCACTCCAGCAGTTAGCCAGTGGGATAAGAGGTGCAGGAGTGCCCAGTGACCTGCCCTGGGCCTCTGCCACAGCACTAGGCCGGGGGAGGCCACACTGGCCATGCACCATGCCAGCCCCACGCATTTCACATGAAGCACACCAGCATGCAGTGTACGATTGGTGAAAGGCAGAGGAGCACAGCACATATCTCCCGGAGGTTGCTCCTAAGGGAGTAGCTTCATTGAAAGCCTTAGGAAGCTATTTGTATTGCTGTTTAGGATTCCTTCCTTAAATGGCTACAATGCCTTACATTTTATTTCTTGAGCTTCCCTCCTAAAAACCTGTTATTTCCCTCTCCTTGGGAAAGAAAAATTAAGAAAATGTTTCTGGATTTCTGAAACAAAGTCTGATTAAAGTGCCTGTGGAAGTAGATGCCCGTGCATCACTGCTGAGGTGGGACAGCCTACAGTCAGGTTCACCCAGCGCTGTCCGTTACAAGATCCTGGTTTCAGGAATTCAAAATTTGTCAGATTAACTGCCCAGGCTGAAAGTTTCCATAATGGATGCCTACCTCAGGGTCACTTATAATCGTAAAGGCAAAAATTGGGCAAAGGAACAACTTATCCTCCCCTTGAGGCAAAGGAAAGACTAGATCATACCTTGTTTTTCCCATCTGAAATTCTTACAGCTTCAGCATCTCACACACTGCAGAGAGCAGAGATTATAAATTTGGAGAGCAAGAAGTAGGATTGCTTAATGGCAGGGATGTTTCTCTTCCAATTCCTGTGTAAAGTTACAAACATTTGGCCAAGCTATATACCCTTAAAAAAGCCTGTACATGGTCAGCAGCAGAGACTTACACCCAAACTCCCCAGGGGTGCACAGGGAACAGATAGGCTTCTCTCCTCTTTGCTTTTTACAAGCCAAGAATTTCTCCACTAAACAAGCAAGCATACTCCAGTCATGGTAGGTAGGGCTGAGCAGGAATTTCTCCTATTACCTAAACTAAGAGCAAGACGCTGTTTGTCCAGTGCTCAAAAATTTCTACTGTCTGTGCCCAGACATGAAAGCAAGAGTCAGATCTAGACAATGCGGGCTGAAGGCCAGCTGGGCAGATCGGCAAAAGACAATGGCAGATGAGGATAGGTTTGTGAAACTATACAAATAAACAGTAACAATGAAAAAACAGCCTGTGCCAAGTGACTAGAGTCTCAGTATCTGTGACTAATTGGCTACTTGTTCAGTTATGGAACACCAATCTAACACCAAAGCCACTCCACTTTGCTACTCCATAGTAAAGCCATGAAATTGCAAATCTTGTCTCATTTGCACATAGTACAAAGTTAGCAAACAATAACAGGATGCATACTTTTCAAAGAGAAAAAGTGAAACACACTGTTTTCCTTTGCCTCCTTGCTAGAGGTGAATCTGAAAGCAGCATAGTTACTGAAATGTCATTCATTGCAGTGGACTTACTGTTTGGGTTTGGAACTGCAGAAACGATGTCTTTGCTGTCAGGAGCAAGGGCACCGTAATTTGCGTGGTGGTGGTGGTGACGGTGGTGGTGGTGGTGCCTCGCAGGCATTTTTGTGGTGTACGGTGCTCCACCATTCTCCTCAATGTTGAACTGATGCAGATCACTGTTGTTCAAGGGATAGCTACAAAATAAATTCAGTTCAAATTAGAGTAGTAAACGGTAGGACAAATTGTACTTCTGGAGAGACAGAGAGTAGAGTTCCTTGGGAAAAAATGCATAGGTTCTTTTTGTAAACAAAATTGTTAATGGCTCATCCCAAAACTTTACACTTTTCTCATAACAGAAGACTCACAGGGTGAGGAAGAAAGATGTCTCTGCTTGTTTGGCATGGCATTAATACCAGAATACTTTTTTAATTTTATGCACTACACAATCGCTATTAGACTTTTATGTCAAGTCAAATTCTGACTGACTTACAGAATATGATTCTCAAAAACATCAGGAATTTAACTTCACCTGAGATAGAGAAGTGGTCAGGCAGCAAACAATAACTCCTTAAAGTGAAACTGTCAAAGAAGCAGATCAAGGAACAGTCTCAGAATACATTCCTGAGAAAGTTCAGGCCTCCAAGTTTATGGTGCAAATAGCTGTATGAAAAATTTATGACTTGGGAAAAAAACAGAGAAAGATCTTATGGGAAAGAAAAAGGTTTTACAGCCAACAACATACAAAATAGCACTTCGTCAAAAATCATACCTGTGCTGGTAAACTAACTGGGATATTTTTTTATTTTTGCATATGTTTAGTTAGAAGATTAACTGTTGTCCATCTACAACATATGGAGACATGGAAACATGTTGAAATTTTACTTCACCATCTCTAACTCAGAGATGTCAGACGACACTGTTGATTTTCTTCAACAGTTTTAATTGATGCTGTTTCAGTTTATTGTTTGAAATGACAGCAAATCTGTAGGAATTATATTTTATCTCCATGCCAGCAACTGGAAAAGACTGAGATAACTCTAAATGGATACTGTAAATGACTTGAATGTGCTTTCCTCAGAGGAGTGCTTAAAATTTTCATAAGGTTTTAACTCATTCTGCAGCACTGTATTAAGACAGTTGTTGCAGTAAATCAATTCATTCCAAGAAAAGATGAGTCCCCTGACCATTTGAAAAGTGCTAAAGAAATTGTATCTTCAGCTGCCTGGTTTTTCAGTTTTCTTTTATTACTAACAGCAGCTGAAAACCTTGACAATATGGAATAAAGACAAACAGAATAATTAAAGGAACAGTGAATAAATTATACCTAGCTATTGGCTATGTATGTTCTCTGCAGATTACTTACCGATTCAAAGCAAAATTAACCAGTCATCTGCAAATACACACATCTGTATCATTTCTAAAGATATGCTGAAGCATGCAACTCAGTACATCATTAATAACCACTGTCGTAGTAACAACTTCTGACAACATCAGGTTTCTGACTGGGTAGTAATTGAATAACACTTTTATGCTGGTTACTTTTTGAAAGCAGGAGGCGGGGAGGGGAATGTTGTGTGTATTAATCTTGGCAGGTTCCCAGCATGTAGCAGCGACTGCCAATAAAGGCACTTCTGATGCCTTATTTGCCTTAAGGAAACAATACAAATAGGGGTTTGATCCACAGGGGACAGCTTTGGTGAGCTCAGATAATCCAGGACTGGTCTGCCTTTTGAAACTACACTGTATCTTCACTGTTATAATCAAATCAAGCAAGTGCCTACTGGGGGGAAATGGTACAGGCTAATGAGATTGCACACTAATTGTAGCAGCTCTCCTGCACTCTACCTTCAAGCTCCTTGGATTGAAGTGACATTTTTTGACTGAGAGGATAGCTGGTTTTGTTCACACAGTTAAAACACTTACTGGAAATAAGACCAGTTTGGGGCTGGAGCCTCAGCACATCCTTTTTTCAGTCTCTGATTCAATTTTTTTTCAAGACACAAACCCCCATGTTCATAGGAGTTGTTTTCATTTCATTCAAGGCTCATTTAGCAGCTTTTTGACTGGTCTTTTCAAAATTAACAAGATCACACCAAACCCTTACAATCACTCCTCGTGTTACTATGGGCATGAGGTAGTCTCCATGACAAAACGGGAAGGAGCTGAGCAACTGAATGAGCCAAAACCCCTCTGGCGGGAAGTCGAAGATGCACCAAATTCTCTAGATGTACTTTTTGGCTGTCCAGAGACAAGTGCTCACACCATGTAAAATCAGGGAGAACTCTACTTCAAAGAAATGAAGAGCTGGCCCAGCAAAGCTGATGTTCAGGTGCGCACTGAAATCATTGAAGACAGTAAGCCACAAGACTCCACTCAGGATGTCAATGCTGAGGCCATGTACTCTGATATAAAATTGATATTGAAATGGCTGGCCCATCTATAAAAGGAAGCAATCGCCTGCACTCTTCTGGGGCTGACAGCAATGGACAGATATTGAGGGAAACTCATCTCAGTGGTCAGTCAACTCTTGCACTTCTGATGGACATGGGCTTGGGGTGAAGAAGACTTCTGCACCCATGCCCTCCCTCCCTCCTAGGAGTTCTGCACAGCTTCACGACTAGACTGAGGAGTTACTGAGGAACCATGAACTGGGCCTGCAGCAGCCCCAGAGCTAATCTACTAGAAGACTTGACAGCACCCAAACAAAAATATCACGAGTGGTCCAAATCCCCATTCTGTGTAATTCCTACTGTATAATTTAGGGGCACATTGGACATCTTAGTCTGGTTTCTACAAGGTGGCATTATATTTGGCAATGTCATCACATCTAATTTTCGCTTATTTTGCTGTTCTTCCACTGTCTTAAATCTAGAGACTTGAGACTTTTCCCCTCAATGCATCTTTCTGCCATTACCTTTTCTTTCTATTGTTATTTCTGTCTGGGTTACCTAAATAGATAATGTGCTCATGCATCCTTCCCAACCAATTGATGCAAATAAATCACTACCATCAATGAACCAACTTTCTGACCATATCCTGAGCCCTCCACATTTTCATACCTGCTCCTCAGATATTAAGTAATGCTCTCAGACTATGTACATACACAGACAGGTATCAGTTTTCATCCTTCCTCTTGTACTTGTCTTTCAGCCCTCCTACTATGCCAATGTTACACTTTTGTTCTACCTTTTCAGTCAATTGGCTGTCCTGTAGGTTTCCTCTTTTTCTTCTGTTATTTACCTGTATAGTTTGCTCAGCAAGCTCCAGCTGCTACCTAGACAACCAACTGCTGTCCTTCAAGGAAAATGAGGCAGTGCCCTTCAGGCTATTATGTAAAGGAAGAAAACATTTCTTCCTTCTCTCTTCCTCCCTCAGGCAAAGCACTCCTGAGGATTCAGTTACCAGAGGATGAACCTTCAAAAAAGCCACTCAAAGTTCACAAAACACTTGGTGTTGCCTTTAGCCTCAAACTCACATAATTAATTTCCTCTGATGAAAAAGGCAGCATATTGAGGAACAGGGCACATAACATGCACCTTCCGATTACTTTTTCAATTTTATTTACATTACTAGTCCTCTATCCTAATTTTATACTCCTCATTTTTTGCTTTAAAAGTTATTTGCACTTGGCATTCTCACATTTCATGTGCTCCAGCCATCTGCTGTCTTACCAAACCATGCCTGCAGTGTACAACTCACACATACAATGCTCAATGTTATGAGATCATGAAAAAGTGTGGAACAGAAAGGTATTTGAAAGACTGAATTATCCACTTCTCCCCTCAAAACCGAACTAAGCAGGCCTACGTTACCCCAATGGATTGGCTGAACTGAATCTTCAGTACCTTCACTAGCAGAGACTCCATGACCTCCCTGTGCAAGTGATTTCAGTGTCTCACCATGCCTACACTTGCTTGCTTTGTTTATGCAGTCTCCTTTCCATCAACTTAAGTCTGCTACTTCCTCTCCCACCCATCACAGACACAGTGAACATGTTGCCACTTGCTACAGAAACCTGTGTTTTTGAAAACGGCTCTTCACATCTCTCTTCAGAACCTGAAGAGCTCTGAATCCTTCAGTTGCCCTGCACAGGACACAGGTATTCAGCACCTCTGTTGGTCTTGCCAACCCCATCTGCCCAGCTCTGCCCGCTGCCCTGCGTCTGACATGTGCTGCTCAGAACTGGGCATACCACTCCAGCTGAGGCCTTGCAAAGAGGATGGATTGCTTGCCATATCCTATGGGATCTACTCCTGTTCATACACTGGAACATGACATTTGCTTTTTCCTAAACAGCCTGGGGCTGTTGACTCATGTTCAACTTCTGCTCCTCAAAAACACCAGGTTCTTTCCTAAACTGGGAAGATTTCCATCCGCCACAACCTCAGCTGTGAAGCAGGTTACTCCTACCTTACAGTACAACATTCCTCCTGAACTGCATCCTAAACTTTCTCATGTGCTAAGATCATAGCATATTCAGGGCTTTTCTCTCATCCATGACAGGCCTGGTATGAGAGGACTTCCCATTTTGGGGTAGCCTGTAAGTGACAAGAGATTTTTTTAAATGAGCAATCACCATTCTGTGCCATCCTCCCAGCTCCCACCCTCATTCTCCTGTAGAACATAACGGTGCAGACCTGCACAAGCACCTTTCACCTGTGTCCCAAAGCAGACTTACTCCTGCACCCTGCCCATGTTCCCTTCTTTCACACTCTTCTTGTAAGCATCTCCCACCTCTCTGAAGTTACCCTTGGAGAGCAAACTGGGGGGGGGGGTCTCTTCTCTCCCCTCCTTGGGGAGCCTGGTGGGGCAATAGCAGAAAGCAGGCTCAAACTGTCATTCCTCTTGGATGACTCTGCATTGAGCTTAGACCCTCCCTGCTATAGCTGAACAGTGGTTTAAAAAAAATCCTGAGCTTCTAGGTCTGGTTGTGATATTTTTTTAATAACCTTCAACAAGTATCACACCCATCGCTGCCCCTTGCTTCAAACACTGCTTCTGCACCAAACCACTGCAATTTTCTAGTACTTAAAAATCCTCAAACTTTACGCAGACATCCCCGCCACCCTTCTCAATCCTCCCCCATCCACAGCTCAGAGCAAGCCTGATGGTGATTTGTGCAGCTTTTGGCAGCTCAAATCCACACTGTAGGCTTCGTGCTGAGTGTGCTGGGAGGCTCCTTAGACCACTTCAC